CCTGTAGGGGGGGGGTGTCTCACCTTTTGACCCCTGACTCCAAAAACTCTTTGGCAGGTCGGTCCACGGATAAAGCATCCTGTTCGGCCACGGGGAGCGGATTGTTTTCAGAGTCCAAAATCATCTCAGCATCTACAAAAGAGAGGAGGAGTGAATCCTTCGTCCTCAAGTTACAACCACGAGGGCGCCTCCGAATTTACATCGCTAAGTGAGACACTGAACAAAGGGAGTTTTCGTCCCTTCTTACGACCTGTCTGGCTCTAGCCATTAGTAGAGTTTCCTCCTGGTGCGCTGTGCAAGTTTCTCCCCCCACCCGTCCCCAAACCGGAAGCTTGCCTCAAAATTGTGGTGCCAATCGGTGATAGGGAGCAGCAGCAAATGGGTGAAAGAGCCACATGTAGCTCTAGAGCCCTGGATTGCCGACTCCTACATTAAGCAAACACCTGCAGTGGTTCAGTGAATTTTGTCTTCCCCGTCGACGTCGCTCCTCGGAATGTCGCTCCAAGGGGAAACTGCGACCGTGATAAATACGAGTTGTTTTTGCCAAGCGGTCCGAATTCGGATCATGCGACTTGGAGGGGAGACGGACAGTCGTTCAGTGTGTAAAACGGTCCTCAGTCGCTGTTCTCAGGGCCTTGGTAGCTTTGAACGGTCGCTAAACAAATAGAGTGAAGTCAAAGGCAGTTGTCCAAATTTGGAGCATGTGATGGAGGTGACGGTCGTATGTGTCAGGACTTTCCCCAAATACTTTTCATGCGGCCATCCTAACTTTGAACGTCGTCATGAAACGAACGGTGGCAAGCCAAAGATGACCTGTACGTGGCAGGTGCCCAAATTTGGAGCATGTGACTGTGATAACAGTCGTAAGTGCGAGGACTTTCCCTGAATCCCTTTTTATGTGTGGCCGTCGTAATTTTGAATGGTCACTAAACGAAAACAAAGAGACCTCAGCCCAGGGTGTAAGGTAAGCCAGGAGGCCCAAATTTGTTCAGCTTCTAAGGAGATGGGGCAGAGTGGATGATGGGTTTCGGAACCATTGCAGGTCCATAGGAGGTATGGATAGTCCCCGACTTACAACCACTCGTTTAGTGACAGTTCGAAGTTATGATGGCACTGAAAAAGAAGGGGCGTTTTTCACACTTACAACCATTGCAGTGTCCCCACAGTCAAGTCAGCAACCAACTTGTATTTATGACGGCTGCAGCGTCCAGGGGAGTCACGCGATCCACTTTGACGACTGTCCAAAGAGCAAAGTCGACGGGGAAGCCGGATTTTGATAAGGTATGGACCAGGGTCCCTAGGAAGAGTGTAACAGTTGAAGGGTTTGGGAATTGTTGCAGGCCTGCCAGAGGAGCGGCTGCTCCGTGACTTACAACGCTTTGTTTAGTGACCATCCCAAGTGACAACGGCCCTGAAAAAAGGGACACACTTACCGTCACTAAGCGAATTGTTGTAAGCCGAGGCCTACCTGCAATTCAGAATATCGGAAATAATTCAGCAGAGATATGGCTGCTTGTGCAGTCCCACGCTCAAATTTACAACGCTTGTCCACTGACTCGTATTTATGACATTCGCGGCATCGCGGGGGGGGGGGGGGGG